TTTAAATTATTAAATCACTTTTTTAGGTAATGAAGCTACCAGTTGCCAGCTAATATTATGCAATTTGTAGCCGAAGATATGAGAAAGTTCTAATTATCTGTATGATGTTATTATCGAAGTGAAAGAAGATATGGACGTTAAAGGACAGAAGGTCCCCAGGCCGTTGGTCCCCACAACTTTTTCATTTTTCTTCCATCACTATAAATTTTTATTTTTTAATCCTAACTAGGCCTTTTATTTTTAATAGAGTAATTGCATTTTTTTTTTAGACATGATACACCATAATTTTAAAATTGTATAAATATTACATAAAATTTTATATATACTATTTAATTTATATATACAAGGACAATATAGAACAAACATCGACAATCATGAGAAAGGAAGGCCTTACTTAAAGAGGTTAATTTTTTTTAACAATAATGAAATAATATAGTAACAAAACACACAATAACTTTGAAATTAATTAATTTAAAATTACATAAAATTTCAAATGTACAAAAGTCAGGCTATTATGTACCATCTATTCAAAAATGATATTTATTATTTTTTTAATTTTGTAAATAAATTATAATGTGTTATCAAATTAATAAATATTATGATTTTATATAAATATAATGTATAGAACTTATATGTAAGTAAGTGAATTATCTGTTTATATAATATTATGAATAAATCTTTAAATAAAAAAATCAATCATTTTATAATAATATGAAATTGGATTTTTTTAGGCAGAAAGGGCATAGGTTAGTAGTACGTTTTTAACATTAATTGTTATTAAAAAATAAAACTTAACTTTTATTCAATTAACTTTTATTTAATTAACTATATAATTAAAATAATTCATATGGTATTGATAATAAAGTTAATGTTAGTTTTTGTCATTTTTAATATAAATTAATGGTAAAAAAATATATTAATTAACCATTAATCTATGATCTAAAGGCATAAATTAAAAAATATTATGAAATTAGTACAATATCAGTTTCAACCAACAATCTAATAAGTTTAGGGTAATTTTTTTTTTTTGTAAAAGTAAGATATTTTAAGTTTAAATTCTATAATATATAAATAGAGTGTGATAAATAGTATAAAAAATTACC